AGTTGCATAATTTGATAACCTAATGGCAGGTCAGTAATTATCTAGAGAAAGGCAATGTAAAATGTTAGTGTGGGCAAACTGCTGGTAAGGTTTCTTATTCTTCATATACAGCCCTCATTGAATCATTTGAACTACACATGTGGAATTCCTCTGGACTTTAGAAAGAGGCTGTTGAATCTGAGTTGAATCTGATTGTGCTGCCTGTCTTGAAAGACAGCAGAGACACCATTGCTTCAACAGGAGCTCCTACAAGGTGTCTCTGCTTTGAAATGTCAACCACCTTCAAGGATCCTGGCCTCATACACAGCCTTTGCTCAAGCTTTTATTTATTTTGTTATTTACCTGGATTTATGTAAGAACAGAAAGACCTTGTCTGGTGTTCCTTTTCTCTCTGAGGGTCTTTATATGTAGTATTGCCCTTTAAAAGTTACTGCACATATAATTCAGTTTGATATTCCACCTTGTAGCATTGTGTTTCCTTTGATATCACTCTCCTGAAGATTATATGACCTTGAAGGTGACATTTTAAACTAATAAATGAGAAGAACTGAAACTAAACCTGAACACTGTAAGCCAAATGGGTTGACTTTTACCTCAAGCTTTCATTTCTGTACATGAAAAGTACACAACTATCAGAATTACGTATTTGCATTTTTTTCTTAATATCTCAAGGAAACAAATGTTATGCAAATGTGTCATCTATTCCTTTTTTTCCTGTGCACTGACCCATAAGCTATGATTCTATGATTCTGTGAAATGCTTTTGCCCATTGTTCTGTCATTCTTTTCTCACCCCTTCTCCACACAAATACCGCCAACAGTTTAAGTTGGTTGAATCACTGCAATGTTTGATGGAGGTGTAGTAGTCTCCAAGCTGAAGATTTGTGTGAACCTCCATAGGAGGAAGATGACTAGAATCATTTCAGTGCTAAGCATAATCTTAAAGTTGCAACTGAAAACACTGCAATGATAAAAGTCCCGTTATTTTCTCCTTGATGTGAAATTGCACCTCTCTTAGCCTTTCTTTTTCACTTGTTGTCAAGTCAGATGCGTCCTTAGGTCATAGGTATATGAGGCAACCCCATCAGGTTCAACAGTATTATATTTAAGCTTAGCTGTCCTGAGCTTCACATGAAATTATTCAAAAATGCATATAGTTTTCCTTAGCTGAAATTGGGATTCCGGGGGCAGCTATTTAGGATAAGAATTTTTAGCCTCATTCTACTGAATGAATGAATGAATACTTACAGAGTAGTTCACCACCACTGCCCAGCTAAAATGGGATTATTCCTAATGGAAGGTCTTGCTACTGAGGGGCTACAGAGGAAACATCATTTAGGTGAGTGCACTTAAATTGGGAAGTCTAAGCTGCCTGAAGTTAAACTGATACTGACTAATTCCACAATCACATCAACCACTTTGCATTTCCTCTAGAGCCAAGTGAGGCTGCAAAAGATGAGCTGTGCCATTGGAGAGAAGATGACTAGCTGAATAACATGAAACACTCTTTTTCCCATGCTATGAGGAGGGTCTAAATAGCTTTCCAAGATCAGATGCCAAGCTTTACATCAGCTGGGTTAGCTGAGATGAATCCTACAAAGTTCAACAAGCAGATTTCTGTCTGCAGGCTCCAGTACAGACCTGGGAAGGTAAAGCAGAATTTGCATTCCCTGCAAAGCATCCTGTATTAAGATCATTTTTACTTACTATTTTTATGCTCTAGACTACATAAAAACTTATTCTTTAAAACTACATGTTGGCATTATTTATTCCAAACGTGCTAAGAACCAGGAGAATTAATCCATATGGTGCTGTGCCTTGCTTCTTGCAGTGTTTGAGCCACTTCTTTCAAAGCTAGCTTGAGTATCCCTCCATCACACGGCAATGGAGACATACCATCAGAGCCAGAGGAGAGCCCTGCTGTGCAGTTTCACACTCAAATCACACATTTCCGTGGGCAGGTTTCACCCAGCAGGAGTTCCTGGCTGTGTTGTGGTTTACAAATGTTTACATTTGTGGTTTACAAAGGGGATTGTCCATGCTGACATGTATTATATTTTATATACATATATTTTTGTGTGTGTGTTTTCTTTGCTCTTCCAAATGGTTGCTTTCAAATATGGTTTTACCAGAAAGGATCGAGCAACTTTCTTACTGACAATGAATTCTTTGCAGTCTTTGTCATTTACTGGGCAAATTACTTTTTTTTTTTTCCTGTTTCTTTCTCTTTCAATGCCAACACATCAGTGTTTTCTAGTAGAACAAAATAATGTCTTTTAAAGTTGGAATATTTTATTTATGCGTGCTATTGCCACAATAGCAGACTACTGTTCAGACTTCTATGAAATATTTATTCATTGTCTTCTCTTCTCTGCAGTATGAGGATTTATGCTCATTTCTCTAGATAGGTTTGCAGTTTCTGTTGTTATGCCAGTATTTGGAAAACAACTGATGCTAAAGTAGTAATAAAGAATAAGAAAGCTTTCCCTAATTCTAGCACAGCCATTTAATTCAAGTGAGCAAGGCTAGCAGGTGGTTCTCAGAAGATCTCATTAGCCTCTTTGATTGTCTCTAACACCTCTTGTAAGCAAATGTCTCATTACCATGGATATTTACATATGCTTTACTTTCATACAGGTTGCCATACATCAGTGAACTATAAACCTATTACCAAATGTCTTCAGATTTAAATGGTAAATACTATTCCTGCTGTGTGGACAAACGGTAGCTATCAAAGACAGTAAAATCTAACAGTGCTCAATTCAATCTTGATTTCCATGGTTAGTATCACTGAACTTTTCAAATTGTAAAAATCATTAGGTCTTTGAGCCTTTCAGAGATATCCAGTAGAGTCATAGCATGCATACAATGAGATACTCATCTGGAAGTGGAATCAGTCTGGAATACGAATGGAAGAAAGGTGGGGAGAAGAAAATGTGAAGGTTTTTCTTTTCCAGTTCCTGTGGTGACTAAATTTTATATACTCAGCAGTTTATTTTATGTAGCCTCATAATCACAGAATGGCTTAGGTTCCCTGGGACCTTAAGATCATCAAGCTCCAACCTCTGCAGTGGGCTGCCTGCCTCCACAGCTCAAGCTGCCCAGAGCCCAGCCATGGACTTGGGCACCTCTAGGGATGGGGCACCCACAACTCTCTGGGCAGTGCCAGGGCATCACTGCCCTCTGAGTAAAGAATTTCTTTCTAACCTCTAACCTAAATCTCTTCTCTTTTAGTTAAAGTCCTGATCTGATGCTACAGCCTTTCATTTGAAAGAAGGGTTATCATCTGCTTGTCATACTGACATCATTATAGCATTGTAGTTTGACACTGAACTAATTCTTCAAACCTTCAGCTCATAGCTTCCTTATCCACCACACGTGGTAGTACCTGGCTTATATTTTGTGAGGACTTGATTTTCTGCCACTGAAGCTGATGGAAATACATACACAAAGGCCAGTTCTGTTCATACATTCTCATCCAATAGCAATCCCCTACTACTGACAAAATTGACAAAGCCCACACCGTTTTCTAGCAGCTGAACACCCAACCTGTATTGTACTTCTCCCAGTCTGAAAATATGACACTTTGAAATATTATTTGCTTTTATTGAGGATCTTATTTTCTCAGGCATGCAGTCAAAGAGAAAATATATCAACAGAACCCCACATACTTCTGAGTGAGGAACTTGCACCTTTTAGCAGTTGGTAAGATTAGATGCTCAATCTCAACATCAAATGCAAAGAACTCTGAGAGATAGTTAAGTGGGCTAGATGATCTTAGAGGTCTTTTCCAACCTTAATGATTCTGTGATCTAGTCTGTCTTTCATTTTCTGTTGAGGTAGAAGATGATCCCCATTTGAGATTTCTTCAATGAGAAAATTTTTTGGACATTAGTAAGAAATGCAGGAAAATTTCCGAGCTTTTCTGTACACTAGATAAGTTTTCTAGGTTTATAAACTAGTAAGATGATGATTTCAGCTTCACACAACTGCAGACTGGGTTGTGCATAGAAAGCTCCTTCTTGAAAACCAGTCCTAATTTGTCATATTTCTCATGTTTAATGCCCTTCTTTTTCCTGTGTCCCAAGAGAAAAAAACTCCCATCCCTAACATTATCACCTCCTATTTCTGCATGCTTCTGATGCTAAAATTCATCCAGTTCCATATAATGACTGAAAACTGGAAATAAACATTTTCAGGTTAGAAATAATAGGCATAGTCCTGTAACAGGAGGTTGGTTGTGTATCACTCAGATCTTTAATTAAAGGCTGGTGACATTAAGCCTAATATTTGAGTGATTGTGGAGGGCCTAATTCTGTGTTATGCAAGAAATCCTTTAGCTGTTTTGCATTTACATGCATGTAAAGACAGTGAATACTACAGGAGTGGTTCTTTACACTTCTGTACTGAATATTTTCCTAATGAACTGAACAAAATGAAAGAGAGAAGCTTCACTCATATACATCCCAAAAAACAACTCAGCAAGCAGCTGTGGGATGAAGCAGAATCTATTCTCCAACTTTCAATCACCACCCTGGGCCAAATTCCAATAAGTGTTAGTATCCAACCTCTGACGGGGATTCAAGTTTGCAGAAATTCACTGAATTGAAATCAGAGATGTCAATCAAATCTCCACAGATTTAACTCACTTTTTGGTAGACAGATAGTGGCTGTGAATTCCACTCTAAAGGGAATATTAGCTTCTGACGTATAATGGAGTAGTTTAATTGGGACTAACAGCTTTCACTTTTTGCCAGAGTGGATTCTGTCCATTACTGTATAATGCAACTACATTGTACGTATGCTTACGCTATTCTTATCAATGCAAATTATTTTTTGGGTCAGGGAAAGCTTATCAGAAAGTGATACCGTTTGTTATTCTAACCAACTGCACACTGATGGATAGAAGGAAGAACCAACCACTAAAACCATTCTGAAAACAAAAAGAAGAGAGAGTTTGCACCATTAATCTTATCTTTTTTGCCTCTCTCTTTTCTATAGGTTGCCCAGGAATGTGGGACAACATTACATGCTGGAAACCTGCAAGTGTGGGTGAAATTGTCTTTGTCAAGTGTCCTGCTCTGTTCAGATTTATCATCTCTGAAGACGGTAAAGTCCTTTCTCCGTGTTTTTTGCTTCTGCCTGGTAGAGCTGCATGGCCAGCAGGCAAATAAAGCCTGATTCAGTTGCTATACTTGAAGGGAAAATAAGAACTACAGTGGCCTGCGGTTGGTTTGAACTTCTGTTCAAAAGAAAACAGTAAAAAAACAGGATGTTTTTTGTGTAGATGTATGTGCATATGTTGGGTGGAAGGGGGAAAGATGTGTGAAAAAAAGCTATCTCGGTCACCATGAAGTTATTGGAAAGTCTAGTAGCTAAACAGGGCATTTGCCCTTGGGAATCCACAAAGATCAACAAGACCTGAGACTGTGTGAAGGTGTCAGACAACTAGTCATCATAACTGGAACCTATTTATAAAATAACTAAAACTCAGAGCTGGGCTCTGTTCATGCCTACGGAATGGATGTGCATGAAATGACCAATGAGGGCAGTTCCCATCTTGGAGGCCCAGTGGAGGGTTGGTGAAAATTAAAAATTCTTTCAGAAGTGGAGAAGATCCATTGTGCCTTTTTGTTCTCTGTAGAAATGAGATGTCAGCTTCCTACTGCTCCTTGCAGCTGGCACCAGCAGCCAAGCAAAGAAACAAAAGTAAATGAAAGGTCAGAAAATTGCCCAGGTTGCGTTGTGGTGAGATGGACTGTTTCTGTTTCCAGAATCACAGAATGGCCAGGGTTGGAAGGGACCTCAGGGATCATGAATAATCTCTAACCAGAATGCATTACTGTAAGAGTTGTCCCTTGTTAGTTAACAACAAGCCTTTGCTGATATTTAACAGTTAAGTCCATCTCATCCCAGCACCCATGTAGGCCAGCATAGATCACTTAAGGAGCACTTCTCATGGAGGAAAACCTCACCTTTTTCCTTCTGCGATCCTCTTCCCAAAGATTATTTTGCCAGTGAATTATTCATACAAAATCTTGAATCCAAAATTCACTTCCTGATGTTGCTACAGACAGTGCACAATTTGTGGTAGATGGAAAATATATCATACACAACTCTGGCATGCTCAAATATTCACTTTTAAGAACAGACATTTCAATTCACCTTAGATGATGAAGGAAACACCAAAATGCTTTTGTGAAATGGAGAGGAATTTAAGGGTGATCACCCCCTCACTAAATACATCCATATGAAACTCAAGTGTCTTCTCTCAATTAGTTCACTGGACTCCATCTGTAGTTAATGTGGAGAAAGTAAGTGAAAGAAATCAATGGAAGGCAGTGTATTTAATTTCAAGAACATGAGGTTAATTACCATTTGGAGGTAATCTCTCTTTATCCAGCAAGTAATAAAGACAGTTCCCTTAAATGAGGCATCTTATTTTTGAAGGGAGGAAGACAAGTCCCTTTTTAAATTATCAGTTACAAAAACATGGTTATTCCTGTAATTCTGTGTGCTTCAATTATAGTGTGTATAATTACACATAATCTTGACTGCTGCAATATTGGTCCAGTATAAATTCAGTGAATGCAATGACACTTGCTGAACCATCACAGTCAACCATAATAGAAAAGACAGCATAGAGCTTCTAGGAGGATTTGTGTCCAACGTGGGAAAGGAAATATTCTTCCCTCTTTCACACACATGCACACACACATACATATGTGTATTTATTTACATTATTCTCCGTGACTTTGTTATCTGTTTTCATTGACTGCTTGTCATTCAGACTAATTGTCGGACCAGTCTTGGTCATCCTTTGCGCAAGATACACACTCAACCAAAAGTTTTCACAATCTAATTATCAGTGACGTGTGCAGCCTGCAGGCATAATGCTTTTATATCATTTATTGTGCACCAGCAGATGGCTGATCTGCTGTTATCTTCTGATATGACTGCAAGAGACCTGCTGCTCAATGCAATGCCTGACCAACCTTCAATTTGGACCCCTCCTTTTTGGTGGCCTGTGATGTGCTGCCTCTACCTGTCCTCAAGATAGGCATGGTAACATAGGCAGCACTTTTCTTTCCCTTTCTTTCTCTCTTTTCCTTCCCTTTTGGGGTTCGGTGATCAGAGATGTCACTAGTTTGAGAACACGGAGAGATGCTGTCTGCATCTACAGCAAAGGAATCTTTCCTCTCTGCCAATCCACCAACACACCTCAGCTGCAGACCTTTTAATGGCTGTCTTTATTCCAAGGGATATTTCATAGAATCATAGAATGGCCTGGGTTGAAAATGACCTCAAAGATTATCTGGCTTCAACCCCCTGCTATGTGCAGGGTCGCCAGCCACCAGACCAGGCTGCCTAGAGCCACATCCAGCCTGGCCTTGAATGGCTCCTGGAATGGGGCATCCACAACCTGTCTGGTCAGTCTGTGTTTCCAATGCTCATAATTATAACCTACCCAAATAGCACCTTCTCCCTTCTATTGATGAAATTTCTTTTCTGTAGTGCCATTGTTTCTGAAGTAATTAAGGTTTGGAGGGCTCTTGAGAAACCATCTAATATGTCTCCCTTCTCAAAGACAGTGTCAGCTCAACATAGTCTATTGCAGCATATAACATTTTAATATCAGAATGTCTTGTCCCATATTTTTTTTTCAACTGACATTAATATTCATTAACACTGTACTTAAAAGAGGAAAGCTGCCATAACAAAAGGCTCCATACATTGAAGGGCTGAAATAAGGTTTTTTGAACGCTTTGCCTGGAATTTCCAGTGCTGTTTGTAAATTGTACCTCACATTTGGCCTCTAGGAGGGTGATAGCATGACCCTAAGGGAGGAGTAGTCAGTCCAGTGTAAATATATGTGCTGCCTTCTTGATTTCCTTGCGGGTTCACTAATAAAAGTGACAGCTGTTACTGGGTGGTTTTTTTTTTTGGACATCTGTTCAGTAGGAACAAAACCAAGATTCATAATTCGTTAGATAAACAAATAAACATTTAATCTGGAGTTGTTTGAAACCTCGGCAGACCCAGCTGGATTTGTGCTAGTGACCCCAAGGTGGAAATATCTACATCCATAATCACTCTTCTGGGTGAATCAGGATGAATTTTCAGTCTCATTACTGCTAATTTTAGCTAACCGAGTATATTTGCTTCAATGAGGGCTTAATGAAAAAAGTCACATATTATGAAGGTTCCTTAAATAAAGGGTTATTAGATAATTAAAATGTTTCTAAGACGTGGCTAATCACATTTTATAAATCATTACAGTATTCTGAGGCTGCTGCTGTGTTTCTAGAATATGTAAGTAGGATAGGCACTGACCCCAGTGTCCATTAATTGTATATTCATTCTTAATTCAGCAGAGTTTTCAGATGACCAAAAATCATTTTTACAAAGAGCAGCAATGATTTTGATTTATGTTTTTAAAATGTTTGTCTTAAGAAGCACTGAAGCACTTGTGGAAACACCTGCTTGGATGAAATAGGGGAACCACATGTAGCACCATTGATTTTACAGAGTGGGGGGAAAGTTATCTCACTTGGCTTTGGAAATCTGTGAATTATATGTGTAAAGCTGGTCACATGGACTTCTGGTTCAGTGAGGGAAGTGTTAGAATCATAGAATATCCTGAGTTGGAAGGGACCCATAAGGATCATTGAGTCCAGCTTCTGATAAGTAATCGTAGAAGGTATTTCCTCTGACCTGTGTCAAATTTGTATCTTGAGGTGAATGAAGTCAGTGGAGGAGTCTCTTTGGTTGCTGAATTTCTGAAAGGAATTTGGCTGTCTTAACTTGGCTGCCTGATTTCTGCTTTCAGTAAGGTGAAAAAGAAAATGGACTTAAAAATAAAAACTAACTGATGAAATTCCAATCCCCACCATCCACAGAGATGCTTTGTCGAAGAACAGTTCAGTGGTTCTAGCTGTAAAGACCATCTCTTGCTGTTGAGGGGTTTGAAAATATACTCTGCTACGACCTTCATTGCAGTTGGACTGAGGACTGACATTTGAACTGCTGATATGGAAGGTTTAAAGTTAAAATTTCCTTTGGAAATCCCGTGATATATATCTTGTGACCCTTCCTGGTAACATTTCATTTCATTTCTCCTTCAAAATCATGAGAATTTTTTATTTCCTTTCAGATTCTCTTTGCGAACAAAAAGATTGTTCTGAAAATCTCTCCACCTGAAAAAGTCATTGTATCTCCTCAGCCTTTTCCAGTGTAGTAGGTTAAAGATTTACGGTGGTTTCTGTTCTGGAGGATTCCTAAATATTGGAGGTTTCTTGTTAGTTGGTTTATGTTTGGTTTTGTTTTCTTTTATGGTTGGTGTTTGGTTTTTTTCTCTTCAAAATCCATTTCTTTCATCAATTCACAGTTTAATTTTTATTAGAAGCAATAACTTCCATCGTGTTGCTTTTATCAATTATGTTTTCTCATTCCAAGTGGTAACCCCAGAGAAAATCACAGAATCACAGAATCATCCGAGTTGGAAGGGACCTCAAGGATCATGTAGTTCCAACCCCCCTGCCTAGCAGGGCCACCAAACGTACACATTTAGATCAGGTTGCCCAGGACCCTCTCCAACCTGGCCTTGAACACCAAGGACGGGGCATCCACAACCTCCCTGGGCAGCCCGTTCCAGGGCCTAACTACTCTCCTTGTAAAGAACTTCCCCCTAACATCCAACCTCAATCTTCCCTCCTTCAACTTGGATCCATTTCCCCTAGTCCTGCTGTTGTCAGCCCTTCTGAAGAGTTTACTCCCCTCCTGGGTGTAGGTTCCCTTCAGGTATTGATAGGCTGCAATGAGGTCACCCCTCATTGCAATGAGGTCACCCATGAGAAAACCCCTCTAGCAACAGAGTACATTTAAAGCATTCTAAGGTATCTGCAATTAAAAAAGGAAAAAGGTGCCAGCCATGATGTGTAATTATCTACAATCCCAACTAGAAAATGTTGTGTTTTATTCTTTTCCTTTATTTATTTATTTTTACAGGCAGTGGTGATGTGTCTGGTAGAGGAAACTCACAGATGCCAAGGCTTTTCCTTCATTGCCCCTCACGGCTGAGAAATTTTAGAGGGATAAAACCTGTCCAC